GTAGGTCCAGCGCAAACACAAACATAACCAGCGCCGCGCAAGTGTACAAGCCTTAAGATCAAGATATCTCATAAGAATAAACAAAAACACTTAAGTAACATTAACTTAACATTGAAGTTTTGTATTGAGCAAAAACAGATGTGGCTCTAGTTGGTTAATCCATGTGGTCAGATTAAATTATTATGCTTTTTCATGAAAATTGGTCAAACTAAAGTATATTCATAATATTTGTGTAATCAAAATATCAATATATCACATTTAACTATTTTCTTGCACTTAAGGCTGTGTTGGGGCGTCCTCTCTGAAGTCCACTACTCTGTTTGTAGATTACATCCAGTGGCTGAGTTTAACTGTGCTGTCACTGCTGTTATTGTTCAGGGAGCAGAATAAAATCCAGGACTGTCTAAGGTTAGGACCTGTAATGGTCCTAACCTTAGACAGTGACTGTAATGGTCCTAACCTTAGCCAGTGACTGTAATGGTCCTAACCTTAGCCAGTGACTGTAATGGTCCTAACCTTATCCAGTGACTGTAATGGTCCTAACCTTATCCAGTGACTGTAATGGTCCTAACCTTATCCAGTGACTGTAATGGTCCTAACCTTAGCCAGTGACTGTAATGGTCCTAACCTTAGCCAGTGACTGTAATGGTCCTAACCTTAGCCAGTGACTGTAATGGTCCTAACCTTATCCAGTGACTGTAATGGTCCTAACCTTAGCCAGTGACTGTAATGGTCCTAACCTTAGCCAGTGACTGTAATGGTCCTAACCTTAGCCAGTGACTGTAATGGTCCTAACCTTATCCAGTGACTGTAATGGTCCTAACCTTAGCCAGTGACTGTAATGGTCCTAACCTTATCCAGTGACTGTAATGGTCCTAACCTTATCCAGTGACTGTAATGGTCCTAACCTTAGCCAGTGACTGTAATGGTCCTAACCTTAGCCGTGACTGTAATGGTCCTAACCTTATCCAGTGACTGTAATGGTCCTAACCTTATCCAGTGACTGTAATGGTCCTAACCTTATCCAGTGACTGTAATGGTCCTAACCTTAGCCAGTGACTGTAATGGTCCTAACCTTATCCAGTGACTGTAATGGTCCTAACCTTAGCCAGTGACTGTAATGGTCCTAACCTTAGCCAGTGACTGTAATGGTCCTAACCTTAGCCAGTGACTGTAATGGTCCTAACCTTAGCCAGTGACTGTAATGGTCCTAACCTTAGCCAGTGACTGTAATGGTCCTAACCTTATCCAGTGACTGTAATGGTCCTAACCTTAGCCAGTGACTGTAATGGTCCTAACCTTATCCAGTGACTGTAATGGTCCTAACCTTATCCAGTGACTGTAATGGTCCTAACCTTAGCCAGTGACTGTAATGGTCCTAACCTTATCCAGTGACTGTAATGGTCCTAACCTTATCCAGTGACTGTAATGGTCCTAACCTTATCCAGTGACTGTAATGGTCCTAACCTTAGCCAGTGACTGTAATGGTCCTAACCTTAGCCAGTGACTGTAACGGTCCTAACCTTAGCCAGTGACTGTAATGGTCCTAACCTTATCCAGTGACTGTAATGGTCCTAACCTTAGCCAGTGACTGTAATGGTCCTAACCTTATCCAGTGACTGTAATGGTCCTAACCTTAGCCAGTGACTGTAATGGTCCTAACCTTAGCCAGTGACTGTAATGGTCCTAACCTTAGCCAGTGACTGTAATGGTCCTAACCTTAGCCAGTGACTGTAATGGTCCTAACCTTAGCCAGTGACTGTAATGGTCCTAACCTTAGCCAGTGACTGTAATGGTCCTAACCTTAGCCAGTGACTAATGGTTAGGACCATTACAGTCACAGTCATATAGAGAACGTCCCTGCACTACCACTTAATATTCAAACTCTGGCTGACGTTTGTTTTGTCCTCCAATGTTTCTTTGTGATTAAGACATAATGCACAGTGTATGCCAGAATCTGTGCATGATGAAGAGTTGTGCGTATAGAATCCAAGTCAGCATATAAAAATAAGACTATATTTGTTCTACAGCCCTCCCCCTGCACCTTTCAAGTCATAGAATATGAATGAGGGGCTCTGCATGTGTGTGTGTGTGCATGCGCATATATGTGCGTGAACATGATCAACTATTCTGTCAGATCTATACTCAAGGACAAGGACAGGCTACACCTCGCATGCCTCCTGTGAGCAGTGGGCTTTGGTCCAATTTGGTCCCATGTCAGGTTGATTGATAGTAATTCCTCCTATGACGCAGTTGTAGTGCTGCTGCCTTGTGTTGCAAAGACGTACTTCTTTGTGGTTCAATTTAGTTACTTATTTGTAAAGTAGATTTTTTGACTACTTTAATGCCCTCGTTGTCTACAGCTCATTAAAAAACCTTCAACTTGCATTCTGGGAACCTTTTTTTCTCAAAAAAATAATCATTGGCTTTAAATTCAGGCCTGTATTGATTTACACACCAAATCCTTACACTTCATATTTCAGATTTACTTCCGCCCCCTGCACCTCGACCTCCACCTTCTCGTTGTTACTGCTGTATAACTGAAAGTAGAATACGCAGCTTTCTGTCATTGCTTCTTTCTGTCAATGACATTTTCCAATGTTTTGCTCAATTAAGACTAAAGTAAAGTAAGTTAAAAATTAAGACTCTGTTCAGACTTCATTACCGGTAGACTTTTTTATGTCTGTGCCAAATCACTACAAATTATTTTACAGGTCCCTTTGTGTTAAGCACACACAGTGATGTACAAATAGATACTTTATTGATCTCTGTAGGAGAAATCCAGGTGTCCAGTAGCGGCAAAAACACATTCATCCACACAAACAAAACAAATTGATAATTCTAAAACTCTAACAATAGTAATGATAAAATGCAACTGCACTGCACAGAGGTGGAGTAGCCTCTGGGTGGAGCAGGACAGGTCACAGCAGCAGAGGTGGAGTAGCCTCTGGGTGGAGCAGGACAGGTCACAGCAGCAGAGGTGGAGTAGACTCTGGGTGGAGCAGGACAGGTCACAGCAGCAGAGGTGGAGTAGCCTCTGGGTGGAGCAGGACAGGTCACAGCAGCAGAGGTGGAGTAGCCTCTGGGTGGAGCAGGACGGGTCACAGCAGCAGAGGTGGAGTAGCCTCTGGGTGGAGCAGGACAGGTCACAGCAGCAGAGGTGGAGTAGCCTCTGGGTGGAGCAGGACAGGTCACAGCAGCAGAGGTGGAGTAGCCTCTGGGTGGAGCAGGACAGGTCACAGCAGCAGAGGTGGAGTACCCGCTTGGTTCGGACCCTTTTCTCTGCTCTGGTCCAAAGTAAAATGCTGAATGCTTCATTAGTATGTTATTAATTCATTAGCATAACAACAAACGTGTGAACATCGCAAACAACACGCACTAAAAAGCCGAGTTAAACAAATATAAGGCACATTGCTGTGGTTTGTACACTGTATGTGTACACGTGAACAATACGCAACTTTCTTCACATTAACAGTAACTTTCTTCACATTATCTGTCGTGAGAACGGGTCTCGAGATGTTCTGTCCCGCTCCGACCATTAGTCCATCTATTATGTCCACAAGTTTCAACAAAACTTCACACGTCTCTTCTCTTCACACCGTGTTTGTAAAACTCTGGGCAGTCTTAGAACCTTTGGGCCAGGTGTCTCCAGCCTTTTTCACCCAGAGAGCTATTTTCCCGCTACAATAACGGCAGAGAGCTACTCCTTTAAGATGCCCTGGTTATTTATCATTGCATATCTGTTACCAGTGCTCAAAGTAAGTGCATTTACAAGAATACAATGAATAATACAATCTGAATTAGTTGGTATATTATTTATTTTGTTAATTTCTAAATCCTTTGGCGAGCTACCTGGAAGGAGGTGGCAAGCTACTGGTCGGTCCCGAGATACAGGTTTGAGACCCCTGCTCTGGGCAGTGCGTTCGAGCCAGTTCAGGATGACAAGGGACACTAAAATCCCCACAAAATGCGATCTTTATGAAAGCTGTAGGTTCTCTGTCAGGTTCTGTGTCAGCCGAGGTAGAGCTGTTTTAGTTTACAGTTTTACGGGACTTTTTTCTGGGTAGCCCACATAAATTTAATCCGCAGGTGCCCGTGGGTGCGACAGCTATGAGCTAGTAATCCCCTATCCAGATATTATTATAGATCCATGACTGCAATATATTGTCTCAACGCTAGTTGGGAGTAAAAACTACACAGTTTATCTTTAAACCTTTGAAATGTTGTGAGAAATCGATGGTGACAAAATAAAGATAATAAATATATTGTGATACAAAATTCAATGTAAACATTATCTTAAGCCAAGCACTTTAATCTTTAACATTTAACATTGGATTTTCTTAGATGTTGGAGCACTAATGTTTTTTGTTTTTTTGTAAATAATAGACCTTTACCAAATGGAAAAGTGATCCACCAGTTGGTTGAGAAGCCATTAAAGGGTTAATGTTCTTGCACTGATCCATTTAACTTTCTTGTTTAGTTTCCTTGTATGTTTTAGCTTGTTTCTTTATGTCCTCGTCTGGTGCACACTGGCGACGTTTGGACATGTATCCAATGTAGTTTTACCGCAAATGGCAAATAAAGGAACGCTTTTTGGTAAATAGAATGTTGAACATCTTTTCTGTCTTGACTGTGCCGGAGTTGATGAAGATGAACAAACAAAAACATAAAAACCCATTGTTGAAGCACGCTGAATAAGCAATACAGTAGATTCACAACTTTTCTTTTGCAAACTATTACTACAACAATAAATGACCCACAGTACAGTACAACAAAAGCCAGTTGTATCGTTAAAAACAATGTTCCTGCTCCACACTCGCTTCCTAAATAATTCATATGCTTTTTTCTTTCCCAGGACTCCGTAGTCTTTGAGTGGTCGGCTGGGACATGAGCACATGAGGAGATTTGCTACCTGACCCGGTTCCCTCTGCGTGTTTCCCTCCCCGACTCCAGACCCCAGGCCCCCAGTGAAGAAAGCTCCACCCACTCTTGCTGCAACCATGGTAATGAACTGCCTCTGCTGTTAATTCACACTCTCTGCAGACTCCCGCGGTCACAGAGTTCAAATTGATTACAGCCTCTAGACAGTGTAACAGTGTAAGTGTCAGGGCGGGATAGGCACCTTACAGAAAAATAGGGATTTTTATTTTAGGGTGAGAGGAGACTACTGTATGAGCTTTATCTTGTTAGGAGAGTAAATAGGGAAGTAAGTTTTTATTTATATACCGCCTTTTCACTGCAGATCTGAGTCTCAAAGCGGTTTACAATTGTTAATTTTGGGCACTTGTCTCTCACTCCACACAGAGATGGGAGCGGGGTCGCCAGTACAGGAGGCACATGCCAGAACTATTGGACATGTTTTTAGTGGTAGGGGAAACCGGAGTACCCGGAGGAAACCTACGCAGACACGGGGAGAACATGCAAACTCCACTCAGAAAGGCCCTGGTCCGACCGGGATTCGAACCCAGGACCTTCTTGCTGAGAGGCGAGAGTGCTGAGAGATACTCAGCCACCGTGCCGCCCGAGAGATAGTGGGAAGATACGCATTGGGCCGACGGATTTATCAGTTTGCATAATGAATTGGCCGTCTTTAATGTCTCGCTAGACATCAGTAATTGTACAAGATTTCAGAGATTTTTGAAGATTATATTTTTTCACTGCTTACAGTCACCACCAGCTCATCTTGTCAAACATTATCTCGGCCAATATAGATGTCATTTAAAAATTGTAAAACAGAAAAACATGGTTATTGTATAGAGCAGAATCTTCTAATAATGTGTATAAATTGCAATTAAATCCAAATGGATGGTTGATCAGTAAATAAACATAAGCCTGTCACTAATACACATTTTGAAGGATATAATATTGCTTATGAGGAATACTGAGATAAATCTGAATGAGTCTGAGAGCTCTAATTCACAGTATATTTTATGATAAACAAAAAATGTCCTTTTGTAAAATGTTTTTTTTTGTGTCAATACTTATATAATACAATAATAGTTACAATAATAGTTTTAGTGCCATTTTATTTATGATTTGACTTTTACGCCACTTGTAACTTCCATTTAACTATAGTGTGATTATTTTGACATATCATAGAAAAGATAGTAAGTTTTTTATTTATATACCGCCTTTTCACTGCAGATCTGAGTCTCAAAGCGGTTTACAATTGTTAATTTTTGGGCATTTGTCTCTCACTCCACACAGAGATGGGAGCGGGGCCAGTACAGGAGGCACATGCCAGAACTATTGGACATATTTTTAGTGGTAGGGGAAACCGGAGTACCCGGGGGAAACCTACGCAGACACGGGGAGAACATGCAAACTCCACTCAGAAAGGCCCTGGTCCGGCCGGGATTCGAACCCAGGACCTTCTTGCTGAGAGGCGAGAGTGCTATCCACTCAGCCACCGTGCTTTATTGATTTCACAATGGAGAAATTTACATATCACATTTGGTATGGATAGTAGGCAAGGCAAGTTTATTTATATAGCACAATTCATACACAAGGCAATTCAAAGTGCTGAACAAATTAAGAAAGCATTAAAATCATAAATAATCACAAAAAATTAAAAAGAAAGATAAAAATATAAAATCCCTCAGTTGTAGCACAGCTAAACAGAACTGTCTTTAACTTGGTTTTAAACATTGTCAGAGAGGAGGCCTGTCTCACATCTTCAGGAAGACAGATTTTAGCAGCATGAATCTGAAAAGCCGCCTCCCCATGTTTAGTATCACTCAGATTGAGCAAAAAGACACGAGTATAGAAAATTGAACTTGTTGTAATATGTTGGGGAGATATAAAAGACGACAAATACGTTTTTGCTGCATTTTATTTGACATTTGAGCAAACCCCTGCAGAATCACTGGAATAATGTCAGATCTGTGATGTTCTTCAGTGGAAGGTGCTGAAGTTGGCTTAGACTGGGATTTAATGACATTTATCACTATAGGAATGACATTTCTGAGTTTGACGCTTATGCTGAACGTGCTTAGGGCGGCACGGTGGCTGAGTGGATAGCACTCTCGCTTCTCAGCAAGAAGGTCCTGGGTTCGAATCCCGGTCGGACCAGGGCCTTTCTGAGTGGAGTTTGCATGTTCTCCCCGTGTCTGCGTAGGTTTCCTCCGGGTACTCCGGTTTCCCCTACCACTAAAAACATGCACAATAGGACTGGCATGCGCCTCCTGTACTGGCCCCGCTCCCATCTCTGTGTGGAGTGAGAGACAAATGCCCAAAATTAACAATTGTAAACCGCTTTGAGACTCAGATCTGCAGTGAAAAGGCGGTATATAAATAAAGATTACTTACTACTACTACTACTTACTTAGGTGACTAAATAGGTTAAAGGTGACTAAATGGGTTAAAGGTGACTAAATGGGTTAAAGGTGATTAAATAGGTTAAAGGTGGCTAAATTGGTTAATAATGGGATAAATATGAATTAGTAATTTATTTATTTTTTTTGTGTGGAAATGCCTTTGACCCATGCTTTATTGTAGAAGTTAAACTTGTGGTACTGCATAATTCACATCCAACCAGATAATCCAATGTATTCAAATATTCATAGGTTCTTTAGAGTAAATATTTAAACGTGATTTTTAGCAGTTTTGACATCCCTACTACAGTCGACATAATAACTTGTGTTTTTACCACTAAACATTTACCGTAACCTTTCCTGGACCTATAGCCTGCCCATCTCTTGGAAAGGATCCCTCTCCCAATATGGGCCTCAGCAAGGTTTCAAATGTTTCTCTAATTGTTTTTCGTCGTCGTTCCTTGCCGATGCAGGGTTTATGGACAGTGGTCATCCCGCTACTATAAGGACAATCTGTGCATATGTGTTTGTAATCATTCAGATTCAGATTCAGTTTATTTGCCATTTGCAGTAAAAACACCACATTGGAATACATTAGCAAAAAGTCTCCAGTGTGCACAGACAAATACAGACATAAAACAACATTAAAAGACAGAAATAAAACAGTAAACAAATGTCATTGTGAAATCGATCGACTAAAACAGTTTCAAAACAAGTGCAAATCATTATAGTGCTCTGTTCACACTGATAACAGCCTGTGGATAAAAACTGTTAGCGTAACGAGATGTCCTGCATCTCAGAGAGCGATATCTTCTGCCAGAGGGAAGAAGCTGGAACATGGCTTTCCCAGGGTGGCCAGAAGAGTCATTAACAATCCTAAGAGCTTTCATTGCATTTACTGTGTTTGAACTGCTTGTCTCTCTGATCTGTCATAGATTGTCCTCCGAGACAAAGAAATTGAATTGAATTGGAAAAAAGGTTTATACACAAACACAGCTTGTGGGTTCAAACAAAACATGATTTTATTATGGAAATTCTGTATACACTGTTAATATTTCATTCATCATCAGATTCCATAAGCAACTCATGTGGTGCATTTTATTAGTTGTTGGCTGGCTTTTATTGTGTGATAATCTCAACTAACCTCAGCAGATGTTTTTCTTACCCGCACAAACAGTTTATGATGTTTTACCGTGAAACACCTTTGAAAGTTCAGTAAATCACAATGCACTCATTCGTATCAAAAGTGCTTCTCGCCGCTGCTTGAAATCCGTGATTAGGAAACAGATGTGTGTTTGTAGAGTGCCCGTTCAAGATCAAAGCCCAAGCTGGACTGACATGGAGAAAAATGTCAGAATGGAAAAAGCCTGGATAATGGACTAAAACATTAGTGGTGTATGGACGCTATAACAGAGAAGTCTAGTGAAGACAAAACTCAGCAGCAGAGTGGAAAGAAGCCAGGAGGGAAAGACGCACAATTGATTAATGCTCTTGGCCTGTGACAGAGGGAGCTGTGACCCATAGGGAGGACAAAGCCAAGATGAATTATTAAATAGTAGAACAAGAAGGAGAAGGTGGGGGAAGAGCAAAGCTTTTAGACAAGTAAAAAGGATTGTAGAAACTGGAAAGGGTGTGATAAACGTAAGATTGAAAGATTGAAATTGTGGCCTAAAGTGCTGAGCGTGGGAAAACTCGGCAACGTGTCTCCACACCCGGTGATTAGTCTTAGGTTATGGTGATAAAGCAAATCCGGTGTGGGTCACCTTGGCACACTGTCAAAGCACAAATACTACAATGCAACAAATTCATCCTGAAGTCCTTGGAAGTCTGCTTTGGCTGGGTTTGTAGGGGCTTCTTGCTCTGGTGGTAACTATGACGTCATTAGTCTCCGCTTCACCCACTGGGAATGTTTACCATGGCACATATTTTTACAATTTCAATCTTTCAATCTCACATTTATCACATTGTTTCGACTGTCCCCTGTGATTGTTTCAGGGTCATAAGGTGTGATTGCTTTGAATTGTCTTCATATAAGTTTTGGTGAAGGTCACTGTAATGTCTTTAATGATACTACACAATACACATTATTTTCAAATGGACCAGAACTCTGACCAAAACAGTTAGTTACTGTACATGGGTCTGTTTGTATTGCATGTGACAGAAGAGCTAATGAACCAATCCGATCAAACATAGATTTGTAATTTGCAATACACACATTTCTTTTGGACAGTATGTTTCAACACTGTATAAAAAGGAAACATTTAAGAATATGTGGAGTGGAGAGAGATGAGTGGTGCCCTCAGCAAGAGCAAGTGATGGGAGAATGTATTGTCTGCATATGTGCATGTGTTTTCTTTGCCAGGGACACATCAGTGAAAATCTGTTAAAACAGTGTATATGCCAGATTTTAGCACATATAGTAGTTTTTCGTCTGTTCCGTCTGTTGTTCCTTAAAAATATTACGTTCACAGACACAGACAACATAGAACAATAAAGCATGTGCATGCTTATTGTGCTTAGTGTTGGTCGAGAGGGGATAGTTTTGTTTAACGCCTTTAAACTAATAACAATAATGTTACCTTTTTGATATAGTGTGTTTTTGGACACGAATGTCTTCACATACAGTACCATTATTCCTTCACTCTGTACGTGTTGGTGATAAACTTCTACTTTAGCCACAGCTGCCCTGA